AGCAATTATAAATAAAAGTTTTTAAAAGATGCACATTATGCAATTTGAGTTCTTCTCAGTTGTACTCATGAACAAAAAACACTTTTTTTTTCTTTGCTTGTCTTTCAGTGCTTCCTTCCCCCAAAGGAAGCTATTAAAATGTATTGGTTTGTGTAAAATCATCAGCTGTGATTCAGTCATGCAATGCTGATACTACCCAGAAGTGGCAGCTGGGAGGCTTCTGGTTAGATAAAGAAAAAATAAAAATTATATGTACTACTGTCACCAAAACATCATTTATCTAATGTCATAGAGGATATTGGAATTTTACTTTATTGTTGATAGGGTACTTTCTTCATCTTATAATACTTTAATTCATTCTAATTATAGTAAGCAGTATTAGTTTCATAACAATAAAAATTCTCTATATTTTTCAAAAATTGCTTTAGAATATATAAATGATTCCACCAGCTATAGATTGACATTATGCTTTCATTTTCTAAAAAAGAAATATGGCAAACAGAAGTTGACTAGAAACATCCAAATTGTATTAATACCAATATCAAGTAAGTTTCTTTGATTTGATTGTAAATAAGATGAATTTGTCAAAAATTAATAGGTCATTGAGAAGTAACTTCACAGATTTTATAGATTACAAAAATACAGAATTATACCTTTCTTATAGCTGAACATTTGTATTTAAATACATTTATTTGTCTTATTTTCATGAAAGAAGTCAACTTATTTCAGGTTCGCTAATAATTCCAAGGCTAGAAGGAACCAGGTCCCAGTTGTCCTATTTTGGTATTGAAGTCTTAAGCTTTTTGAAAAAAAGCAGACCTGATTTCCTTTTTCAGCATCTTCTAGACACACTTAGATGTCACAGTCACTGCCGATTCACCTTTCGGGCCTTTACTGCCTGATCAGCAAGCTATCCAAAAACCTCTGCGTCAGAAATCCTTGGGAGGAATCACTTGAGCAATGAAGGCACAGAAGCTCAGTTTGTGAAGATACTGGTGCTCATGAAGCAGAGATTTATTGTATTTTAAGTAACAGCTGCACTAGTATAACTCTGATGTATATTAATCCTAATACCTGTTTTAATCGTTTTCTACTACGGTTGAGTAAAGTGTTGGGGTTGAGATGTATCTGTCTTGTTTTGTTTGAAGTTCCACATCTCTAACCTTGGTCACAATACAAGGTTTTCATTTCAATGTTTTGAACATATTTTCATAGTGGTATTGATATTATTTCATTCCATTTGAGCCAGAAAGGTTACATGGAGCAGACCTTCCCAACTGTTGTACCCATGCATAATAGGTCATAGGCCTGTGAGATAATGATATCCTCTGTTCTCAGGGTGCCCTGGTGAGGCCTGGGGGAAATGAGAACTCCCATAACTATCAACAGCCAGGAGAAGCCTTAACAATTTATTCTAATTTGCCACAAATGTTATTTTGAAGTGCTATATTATGAGAAAAGCCAGAAAGCAAAACTAGCAAGTACAGAATAGGTTTGTCTCACTTTGCAATGAATACAGATTGGCATGTATTTCCTAGTTATCTCTCAAAGATGAAGTGAATAGTTGCCATTTGAAAGATATGCCCTTAGGCTGAAAATATTTTAAACTTGTGAGGATTACTATAGTATGTGATTTGCCTTGAAAAAATAAATAAAGAGCTAAAGGTAGTTATAAAGATATTAAAGTAAATTCTGACTGAAACTTCCAATAAAACAATATCACAAATCACACACACACACACACACATGCACATGTGCATACACGTTTCCATACAGAGCTGATCTGACTCAGTTCCAAACTGAATATTTCATTCCTGAATGCATCCAAGGCCTTTCTCTTTTCTATCTAGTAAACTGCTAGAAGTTTTTTCAAATTTATTATTTTTTACATTTTTGTTACCAGGATTAACAATTGACTCTATTTTTCATGCCTTTTGTTCATGTAGAAATAGTTTTTATCACTGAATAGGTTACTGCATATATACTGGCTCCTATGCAGACATGGCAAGTAGTAAGTCTCTATCTATATTAAAATTATTGATTTCTGCATATTATTCTGGAGGGGTGAAATTCAAAACTATGCTTCAACAAATGAAATATGTCAGGTTCTTCAGACATGCTAAAAATTCAAATGTTAAATTTTCCAATGTAAAACATCTTCTCTAAATATACTTTATCTAAATGTAATAATTTTCTTTACAAACAGGTGAAATAAGAAATATTATCTTTATTATTACCTGGAGATTCAGCCATTGAATCAATGGGAAAAGCTGTATTTATAGAAAAAAATTAGAAATTGTTTATTACATTTACTATCGAATCCACTAATGGGATAATCATGGAGTTAAACAAAAGAATATTCCATATGCCAACCTATTTATCTCCTGACCAAACTCTGGTCACGCTCTAACCTTCTCTGTCTGCAGACTTGTTTTTTTTTGTGCAAAATAAGAGGTCAAATTACCTCTTATTTTGTTATATCTTTGCCCAGACAGGAGGTGGTACCCTGATTCAACAATTGGGCTGTTTGGAGCCACATTCCCTTTAACGCCATTGCTTTAGGGACAACACAAAAGGCAGTTTTAACTAATCTTATTATTCGCAGAAGAAAAACCATCTATGTGGGTTACATTGACATCACTAAGAAATGTGAACCTCCTTCTTTCATAAATGTGGAAAATAAGTGCCAAAGGGTTTCCCATTATGGTTTACGGGATGCAGGTTTCAAAATACTAGTCATCATCATAATAGTAATAATTAAGTTTATACCTTAGTAGTGGATGTTAAGTAAGATGTCATGCATAAATCAAATCTTAATAATTAGGTTTTTTTCCCTTAGTTTTTGATTTGAGAATAGATTTATGATCTGATTTATGTTTAATTGTCAATAACTCTTTGCTGTTTAGGGGTTCTCCACCATCATGTATACTCCCAACCTACCAAGCTAAAGTATTAATGATTTGCCAAATATTGTTGTGCTTAAAACCAATCAAAAACCTCTTAAAATTATGTCTTACCCTCAGAAAAGAAAAACCCTGTTTTATAAATGTAGCATTCTTTTTCAGTTACTTTAATAAACAAGACCAGGAGCATATGTGTGTTCAAAGGCAGAGTCCCTCACCCCTAATAGTAAAAAGAGATACTCTCCATTATTTAGTCAACAAATTAGGAAATAATTAAGCATTAATAAAAATGGCTGGTTTTTCAAGTAACTTCTAATATATGTATTGCTATGCTAATTTCCCAAATAAGATAAGAGGCTTAAGATAACCCCAAGTGACTCAATCATAGCATACCCGAAGCTGAAATCTGGGTATATTTTGATGCAAAGCTTATAGTCCTTTTTTGCATACCATGTTTAGTCAATTACCTACTTTGTATCATTTTTGGAGCCAAAAGAAAATCTATCTTGCAGAGGCTCCTGTGTCATTTGTCAATGTTTCCAAAAACACAACTCCATCCTCCTTTTTCTGTCCCTGCTGCTCATCACAAAATGAATGAGGGTTTTGCCAAACAGATTGTGTTGTTGGCAGGACTAAAAGCATGAACAGTTCTTTGCATTGAAAAAGATCACTGATTCTTACAAATTAAATGCATTTTGATATGTTCTCCTTACCCATCATCTCAGGGCCTTACAGCCATTACATCTTTTTTTCTTGTTATAGTTAGAGCAGAGATGGACCAGTCCTTCATGTCACAAACTGAAATGAGTCAGTGTTGACTGATCCAGTTCATCCACATTCCAGGCAGGGATCCCCAAACCTACTACTATTAATCTGAAAGTGTTTTTCAAACAAATGTCATTGAAGCAGGAAAAAAGGACTGCACCAAGAGAAGCAGCTTCCTCCTCCTTTCCTTTCTTAATTTTGGATATATAGTACTTAATTAACATCCATTCTGTCCTAGTCATTTTGCTGAGTGCTAAGGGTCATGAGTAGAGTACAAAGAACAATGAAGAAAGGTCAAAGCCCGAGTAGATGTGCAAGCCAGAATCCGACGTTATTTTCAGTTCCTACACCTGTCTTGAAATACAGTAACATTGGGTATAGGGCTTCAACATATGACTTATGGGGAACACAACCTAGTCCATAACAATGCCCATTGATCAACAGCAATAACATGCAATAGAGAGAAGTTAAAGTCAAATGCCATAGGCATAGTAGTTAGTCAGAGGTTCAAATCCAAAGCCTGCCACTTCCCAATTGTGTTAACATTGGTGAGTTTTCTTAACCTTAGTGCTTCCTTCCTTAGTGGATGTAACAAGGACAATAAGTATCCTTTCTCCTATGGCTATCATCAAGTATTTTATATCTAATTAGAAGGTAAATTGAAATGAGAAGCTACTATTAGTTGTAGATAAATAGTTTCAAAGATGTTGTTACTCTTCTTTCTATGGTAGGCATAGTATTTTAGGAATTGTGAGAATCAAATGTAAGAGAAAAGACAGAGGAAATTAAATGCTTACACTATTTTTTCTTAATGAATTTATTTTATATAAATATAGTTGTGAGGCTAGACCTACACAGAGAAAGATGCTTTAGATTTCAGAAATGTGTAGCTTAATTCATTCTTTTAAACAAATCTTTACTGAGCATTTATTATGTGTCAGAAATTGTGCCAGGCATTTTGGAGACAGCAGTGAGCAGAAATGGCTATTCTTGGGGAATTTATATTCTAGAATTGAAATATGTCACCTCCACTTCCGGAATTGGGCAAAATAAGGTCCATCAAATAGGGAAAATAAATTAATTAAAATAAATTTACAACATAATACAAGTTGGCATTAAATTGTTATCATGTGGTCAAAAGATAGATAGGCATAATACTAGCTCTGGGGCTGTAGGACTGGCTTCCACAAGTGCCGCCCCATCCCTGAAATACAGGTTTGAGACCTGCCATCCCTCACCATAGCCCAGGCAGACTTTCCGCCCCGCCCTGCCCTGCCCGGCTGCGCGTGTGGCACAGGAGGAAGCGCTGGCCTTAGGGTCCCTCAGGGCTGCGCTGCCACCACCAGCCTCTGACGTCCGCGCCAGGTGCGCAGCCAGCGCGCATAGGCGCGCGGGTTTTGAAGAGGCGCAGCATACCCGGTAGCCAAGAGCAGGCCGGGAGCTCAACCCGCAGGTCCCAGATCCTGCTGTCGTGGTCGCCGGGAGTGCGAGTGACTCTGGCTTCAGCTGGTGTCTGCAAGCTCACGTCACCTGTTTGACAGCCTCCCACCAAATCAGAGGGCAGCGCTCGCCAGGAGCCCCTAGCGTCACCGGCTCCCGCAGATTAGAACTCGCCTCTCATAGTTCCTCCCTTCATTCCATTTAAAGCTCCCACTGGCTTTAAGAAAAAGTTAAGTGTGAGCTCAGTTTCTTCAGCGCTTTCTTCCACTGCAATATGGTAAGTGAGGAACCGGCGTTTGCTAGTCCTCTGGCAAAACCTGGGGCTCTGAAAGCGAATAAACTTTGCACTGAGAATTTATTCCATTTTTGGAGCAAGCTTTCTTTGCTATCTACCAATTAAAATAGATCCTCTCCTGTCTCCTTTTTATTATCATCTGTCTTCTCTCTCTTTCTCCCTTCCTTTCCCACTGCCTTTCTCCCTGTTATTTTTATTCTTCATATTTCCCCAAAATTTCACCTATTCACCTGCACTTACTATTCATTCCTCCTCTTCTTCCAGATTATGCACATATTTGCAAACACTTGGAGTTGAACTACTGTAAGAGTATTTGGGGTTTGTTTTCTTCTCAGGTGTCAATTGCTTAATAGTTTAGCTCGGATTCCAATAATAATCTCAAGGAAGGAGTCTGCAAACATGCTTTTAAAATGAAAACAAGAAAAATAGCTCTTGATAAACTTTTGGCTTAACTTCTTTGGTCTGCACTCCCCAAGCTGCACTTGCTTCTGAACTGTTTTTTTTTTTCTTTTCCAAGACTTAACTCACTGGGAACATTAACAAAGTGTGACTTAATTGACTCATTTTCCCCCCTTCTGTTTATGTTATGACCAAGAAAGTACTCAAGCCAACAAAAGATTCGTAGCAGTCAAACAGAGTTTATCTAAACCTAGGCTCTGCTGGAATAAATGGCTTTTACCTGATTAAACATTGACAAATAATTAGGAATGGACTGTTGTACAAATTAACCCAGGAAGGCTGCATACTTGTCCTTGTTTGGAGATTTGGAAAGAGTGTATGTTTGAGGTTTGAGAAGTGGCAGGCAGGAAGGTACTCCCTGAATCAGAACACAGTGAGAACACACGCCAGGCAGTTAGTGGTGGCAGGATAACTTTGCAAGGACATTGAGCCCTAGTGATGGAGAGATCTAGAGCTTGCAGTCTTTGCTTATTTCTTTCAGCTTTTAGATGTTTACTTGGAGTGATGTTACGCTCCTCTGACTGGAGCTGGGGCAAAGTTTATTTAAGTACCTACAAGGAACAAAGTTTATTTAATTATCTATAGAACAGAGATAGAACATATATATACATATGCACTTATGTCTATATATGCATATGTCTATATGTATGTATATTATACAAGTATGTATATGTATGTACATAACTGTATGTATGTGTATGTATATATATATATATGCATATGCACATATATACATTATATATATATATATATATATATATGCATATACTTTATACACAGCATGTGTTTGTATGTATCTCTATTCAGATTCCCAAAAAATCCAACAGAAGGTTAGTTTGGAGGAGAAGAGGAAGGGAAGCATAAGACAATTATTGATTCAGAAGTTAGTCTATAAGATGCCACATTCTACTTTTTCATCATTTTTAATTGGTTCTTTGTCTTCCAAGGTGATTAGAAATAGAAATATAATTAAGATAGTTCTGACTGGCTTATTAGGTGAGCTAGGCATTACAAAGGAAAATATAAATATGATTCATCCAATAGTAGTCTATTCTTTGTTCAAGAGACCTGTGGAAATGTTAGGAAAGTCATAGGAGCCGATTCCTTTTTAGTTATTATAATTAAACCACTCAAAATTTAATCTGGATCTAAATTTAACACCTTCACTGTTTCTTGATTAACTGCATGTAATTTCTGTGTGTTTCTCCCACCCTTCTCTCCCTCCACATCTCCATCGCCCAATCTCCTGGGACACCCCCCTCCACCCCAACTCCTTATACTGAATTTCACAGAACACCATTCTGCCTTGCCAAGACCAGTATTTTGCAGGAGACCAGAGTTATAATTGCCCGTATTCCACTACACCGTCAGAAACTAGTGTTGACGTTTCCACGGAGACTTGGGTCTCTTTCTGGGCTGCTGGTCTCCTGGACAACAGTGAGCCCCAACAAGCACCACAGGCACAGGGTAAGTTCTGCTCTTCTGCTTTAGTGGTAGACCTGGGGCCCTTTTCAAGCAATGTGGCTGCAAAGCATCATGGTCTGGGACTCTGGAAAACGGGATGTTATAAAAAATTTAAGTTATTCCAAAGAGTCTTGAATTTTACAACCTTAACTTCTGCTATTTTGTACTTGCCAAATAGTGAAAATGAGATTCTTCCTCTTTCTTGCTGGACAACACGTGTTTCTCCCTCTACTTTATAGTACTTGGAGATTCCCAACTCACTAAAAGAACCTTTCTGGGTCATATTTTATAAACAACATCCTAGTAGAATGTTTTTGGAGTCAAGATACTAGTTACAACATTTCTTTTGAAACTCAGGAAAGTTTCCCAAGTATGATAAAGAAACAAGAATGAATAACTTCCTCTTTTATTTCATAGAGGAGATTCTATAGACAATGCCTTATAAGTAGAAACAATTATTCTGTTTCACACACACACACACACACACACACACACACAGGATTTCAAAGTGGGAGGGAAGTATAACATTGATGGAAAATTATGGATGGTATTAATCTTGACTTGAAGGTTAGTGAGCATTTTTATAAAATTAAATGAATTTCTGTATAAATAGTCAAGTTTTTCTAAAAAGTTTTAGATATCTTAGAATTAAATACCTATACTATTGTTTGCCATATGCTCCTTTGGTGGACACAGGGGTTAAGGAAAGGCACACAAAAAATGAAAACCTAAAAATGTTGAAGCACACTTACATATTATGGATAAAGTTTTTCAATTTTACTTTTTCATTATAAGCAACAGCAAAGACAAAAATGCCCAAAATCTGAACCCAAACTGTTTATAAAATTGGATTACTGTTTTCTTACTCATTACTCTATTTTAATAAAAAATACTTCAGTAACAGCAGTTTAAGTAGAACAGGGAAAGAGAATGGTATTAATGAGGGGGAATAAAGTAAAAAACCAATTAAGCATGCCCAAATGCTTTTGATTAACAGGCATAGCTTGCTGTCAAATATGAAAAAACATTTTGTAAAAGCATAAAAAAATATACAGATGAAAACAGTTGAAACATAGAAGGTAGAATTTTGCAATTTTTATCATGGTCTTCAGAGAAACAAGGTACAAATTATTTAAAAGTAGAAATTGCTACTACATCAAATTCTGAATTCTATCCATTAGATTTAACAGGTAGGTGACAGAAAGGGAAATAATAGCATTAAAATGTTATTAGATTATCAAGCCAAACACTATATTATTAAGTGCTGAAGCTTAGAAAATAAAACAAAAATTATAAAAAGATAGTGGGATTGCAATATTATGCCTAGTGGGAGGGAATGGTTAATAAACATTTGAATGAATTAATGATGCAGCTGAGAGAGTCTTTATTAATTTAACCAACAAGAATATACATATAAAGGGAAGAATGTGACCACTTAGTTCCAAAAAGAAAAAAAAAATCCCACCTCTTTAACCACTTTGGCATAGATTGTATAAATATTTGTCTGTCACAGCTTGCTTCCTTCTTCTGAAAGCTTTAAATATTTTGTTCTATTGTGAGGAAGCAACAGCTATTTTTAGAAAGGTAATTGAACCTATTGCACTTTGGGGATGGTTTAGTGAGTTCATTGCACATAAGTCAAAAGTGTGTTTTCTATGCTACCCATTTTGTATTTTCTCATAGAGTCATCTTCTAATTCGAGTTTTCCTATTCTGGACTCATGTTCCTGGGAAGAAGCTCAGCTTTCCTCACAGCTCTACAGAAATAAACAGGTATGTGTGGATAGTCAGAACATTGAGACTGGCCATGCATCCTGCAGTCCATTCTCCACTTGCATCCTCCCTTAAGTTCATGCTGCTCCTTTTTCCTTTTAAAATTCACATTAACTCACTTTAGAACTAAAATGAGCATGTGTTGAGAGAGAGAGAGAGAGAGAGAGAGAGAGAGAGAGAGGAGTTAGATGAACAATCTCTCTTCCCTCCCTCCTTCTTTATTTTCCTCTCTCTCTCTCTCTCTCTCTCTCTCTCTCTCTCTCTCTCTCTCTCTCTCTTTCTGTCTCAACCCCCCCAATACACACAGACACACTCATATACACAAATAACACTTGAGGAAGACATGCAGTCAGGCTCTGACTATATCACATTTTAGCTGTGTGACCTATCACGTCCACCTTTTCTTCATCTGTGAAATTGGAATATTTATGCGGCATATCTCAGAGGGCTAATGGAAAGACCAAATGGAATCATGTCAGTATTTTAAAATGATAAACATGGATAATTGCCTGGAGAATTAATGATGATGACAAAGGTTTTTTTTTTTTTTTCCAGATATTGTTTCATTTTCCATATTTTGTTCTTATTTGTTCCCCCAAAGTAATATGATCTACTGAACATACAGGCAGATCAATCTGAGTGTGGCACAAGTCAACCATCTTTTCTTTCTTTCTTTCTTTCTTTCTTTCTTTCTTTCTTTCTTTCTTTCTTTCTTTTAATGTGTAAGGAAGGAGAAATGGTAAACCTTTCTAAACACCTTTTTCTATATTTAAACAGTTGAATGCTGCTCATTTTCCTTTACACCTACCTGACTCCCTTGTGGTTAAAATTTTAAAAGTCATATAATACCCTCAAATACTTTGTAATGAATGAAAAATTCAGAGCACAAAACTGAACAATCAGGTGGTTGGGGGTTGTTGATTTCAGTCTCGGAGGACGAGAACTCCCTGAAATTGTGTTCATAAAACAAACAGAAGAATAATCAAGTTTAAGAAGGCTGAGGCACAGTGGCATTATTATAATGTTACAAAGTCAATACCGTGGAGCAACCTTCACCATTGTCTGCTTTTTGCAGCTCCAAGATACTCTGGTTCAGAAGGAAGAAGAACTTGCTAGGCTACATGAAGAGAATAATCACCTCAGACAATACCTGAATTCTACTTTGGTTAAATGTCTTGAAGAAAAGGCCAAGGTGTGTAATAATCTTTTTTATAAGATCAGGGCAGTGATTTAAGAAAGGAAACCATTAATGTAAAATTTCTTAATTAAAAGCAAGAAGTGTACTCAACAACATGTCATAGGATATGTGAATAGAATGGATAACATTTCTTAAGGAAGTACATGACTTTCACTAGAACTTTTATGTATCATTTATTAGAAGTATCTAGATTGCAGATTCTATCCAGACATTATTACAAAAGGAGTTTCTTATATATCAAAAGCTAGGGATTGCTGAGGAAACAGGTTGATCAAAAGGAGAGTTAGGTGGAAATCATAGATTTAAAAACTCAGTTGTTTTAATTATCTTCTGGCTTTAGGAAAATCATTCTCAATTAGGAATTTGGTTACCTGTAGCTACAAGAACTAAAAATCCGTGAAAAATCTCTCTCAATCTAAGATGCTGTGATGATAACTGGAGCCTAGTATCTTGAGCAGCAATTCAGTATATACAGTTACATTATCTTTTATTCACATTTTTCTTACACTTTTAAATGAGCTATTTCTAACTCAAAGATAGCTTGCCTATAGTCTCTGTGTGTTCCTTTTTTCTTTAGTTTTGTGTTTTTCGTAGTATGTGTTTGCTTCTATGACCAATTTTTACTTTACTCTTAGACAAACTATTATTTGATATTATGTAATCTAAATTGATTATGTGTCTGCTGCTTTTACTGAATCTAACAGTTCAGAGAAGAAAAGATATTCGATTTGACTACTTTACTGTATAGTAAGCTTTCATAAAAAAAGGACTAGCCTTGGCTTCTAACTCTAGCCACCATTCCTTGAAAAAGACTTTATTAAATTATTAAATGACATTAATTAGCTTTACCTTTCTTGACCTCAGTTCTCCAAGGTTTAATATAATAACTTTTTTCAAGGGATTGCTTTGAAAGTTAATGAAATAACATAAGGAATGTTGTATAGTGTTTAAACAAGAGTTCTGTCTATATTCAGATAACTTAGGTTTAATTCTAGGCTAAGGGATACTTAGCAAGTCACAAATATGTCTGTGCCTTAGTTTCCTCATTAATGGAGATTTTAAGAGTATCTATATCCAAAGAAATAGAGCATGTGATCAATTATTCATAAATTATAACAGATGATAATTTGTTTACTTTATCAGTGATAATTCAATAAACAATTGCTTTTATTGTCATCATTGAAAAAAATATTACTTCCCTGATTTGAAATCTTCAAGACATTATCTGCTTTTTTCAAGTTTCAAACTAAGAGTAAGAAATGAATTCAGGTTCCTAAAAAATAAGATGTTATCATGGATTTTACTTTAGTAACAGACACTAATCTAATCCATTTTACTTGTATGTGAAAAAATATTAGAAATTTAACCATTTTTCTAAAGAATGAGGGTAACTAGTAGATACTTAAAGGAAGTATAATTTTCAAATGTCACTTCTTCAGAAATTGTTGTCATCAGATGAGTTCTCCAAAGTGTGTGGAAAATTCAGAAAGGGGAAGAGGAAACACAAAGAGCAGGGATACTCTCCTGCTGAGATCCCCCATTCCAAAAATGTCAAGAGAAACCTCTCTAGTGAGTTTGCTAACTGTGAAAAACCACCTGGGCCCCATGTTGATCCCTGGGTGCTTCAAACACTTGGATTGAAAGACCTCAACACCATTGATGACACCTCATCAGCTAACTACAGTGCCCTCTCCTCTCATCCCAGAAGAGTGACTAGCACATACTCTCATTTTCCGAGTGATGCCATTGATTATGAAAATGTCCCCAGAGAGGATGTGCCAATCAACTATGGAGGTGAAAGAACAACCCCCTTGCACAGCACTGCCAGCCATGGGGAAGACTTCCACTACTTTTCTCAACTTTCAAATCCCCCAACAGAGGTGCAAACACTTCCTTATCATCCAGCTGATGTGTCACCCAACAAGACAGAGATGGCATTTTCCACATCCCTGAGTCCTCACTGTAATGTCAAAACTCATTCCTTCCACCAGGGACAAGCCTTTGTGTGTAGAGATGAAGAAGGAGGCTGGAAGTTTGCCTGGGTCCCTAAACAGCCTTAGTGACCCCTCTTGTATCACAGAGCACTGCCAGGAACTCTGTTTACAAAGACCTCTCTTACACTGCAACCTGACTATGTGGAGCACAGAAGCTATTGCCCAGACAATCTTTAGCCACTTTAAATGTTACTCTCAACTACCACTTAAATTTGTAGGGAATAGCTTCCAAGAATCCATATGAGAGGCATATGCTCTTCCTCCACCTGAACTTGACTAGTTTGCACATCAAGGTCTGCTATCAACTTCTTCTCTTTGCCCTGTACTTGAAAAGGTGTTTTCCAATCTTCTGTAGATTTCTTCAAGACCTAGATATACTTTGCTTATCATGACCTGTTTAACACCTTTTGTTCTCTTGTCAAGTAGTTTAAATATGTATGGTCTTTATTTCTCTCCCTCTTCTACATTTCTTTATTTCTGAAAACTGCCTTTAGAATGAGCCCTATTTTTGTTTCAAGTACTTCCTCCTGGTTGTTTAAATTGTTAGAGGTAGGGTAAAAGCAAGTGTCTGCCCATCACCACTGCTGAAGAAGTATTGTGGATATGAGTAACAGTATGTCCAGGGCAGCTCAAAGAGTCAAGTGTTGCAGGGTGGCTTTGGCAAAACATCTCTAAGACGGCTGTGACTCCACTGATAAGCAATACCACTGAAAAATGACAAAAGTTAAAAAGAATTAAAGTTACTTCAAAATGTCCCAATACCTGCTTCCATTGGCACCTGGCCATTGTTTCTTTAACTGACATGGCTCAAAAATGATATTTTTGAGGAACTGTTACACAACAAATCATCATCTTAAACTGCACAGATGCTGGCAAACTCATCACTAGCCCAGCTCTGACAATGTCACACTCATTTCTTCTGTCAGTCATGTATTCATGCAATTCACCTAAAATATCTATAGAATACCTCATGCTCACTGTGTAACAGGCATTGTAATTCAGGATGGTGATAAAATGTGAGCAGTTTGGGCCCTGTGCCCACACTCATGAGACCTAGAGCCATTCATCTGCTGTCATCCCTGAGAAAGCTATTTCCTGGTATGAAAATTCAATTTTCCCAGCTGTGGAATACAGAACTTGATTAGATAACTTCTAACATTCTATGAATGAAGTCTGGATCCCATCAGATTTATTTCTATTTGGTCATTCAAGGCCATTTTTCTCTTAGAAAGGTACTGCATATACTAGGTAGGGTGAACTTTATCTGCAATGGAAAAAATAGAAAAATAAATATGAGTCATTTGTAATCAGCATTAGAAATCATTTCTCTGATCACAGGATTCTTTTTTCCAGTATGAGCCCACTTTGCAGGTTGATTCAGTCTGTGTGAGAGTAACCTCTATCTAAAAAAAGATACATTTTAATTTGTAAGTAAATGTGAATAGAGCGAATGCAAGCATGATATCAAAGATCTCTTCTTTCCTAAATTTTTTAAGAATATTTTTGGTGCTCTTGACTGTTTCCTTCCTTTCCATCCTTCAAGCTCCCTATTGTTCCCAGAATAAACTATGCATCAATGTCGGGCACCTATGCTTTTTTGGACAACATGATTAAATTCACCAGGTTGAAAGCCATCTCCATCTTTCTCTTTCTATTCTCCTCTCAATACTTCACTATGCACAATCAACTTCTTTGTGTGTGCCATTTGGAATTCTTTGTAACCAAGACATTTCTTTTGTGTTTGATCATTGCTTTATTTATGTTGTGTGAGCAAATATCTATTTTATAAAGCTTTGTTACCCATTAGTTTTCTTTATAATTCATGAAGGTGAATACAAATTAGTAATTAATATTATTCTCGGGAATATTTTAAAACTAAGGAAGAGATAGCATATGTTCTACTCCCCCCCCCAAACCCCCCAAAACACAAAAAGTACCTTTTACATTCTGGTATCTATGCCTCTTGTGGGTGAAATTTATCTCTAGAATAATAAATTTATAATTAGAATTGATTATACTTTACTACACAAGGAATTGAGTAAGCAATGGAACTATTTAAAAACTCTTATAATCAAGCTGTAAAACAAAATTTACCAGTTAACACATATTTATTTTGCAATATCCATGTGCCATGTTATATGTTAATTACCATGAGGAAACACCCAGGCTTCTCACAGTGCATTTGGTGCATAAAAAAGTCACCAAAAATATCAAAGCTTTTGAAAGCTTTTAAATGAAACTTGGTTTCAGCCTGGTTAAAGAAACTATAGGACATTTATGTGGCAAATTATGATATCTTCTTCTAACTCATATCATGAATGATAGTATGGAAGAAAATTACCACATATGTTTGCAATTATATTTATAAACATTTGATATTCATTTGAATAATGTATACAAAATTATTTTGTTAATGTTTGAGAAATTGGAAATTCGTTTCACTCAAGTATATGTTCTAACTTTTATAGTTTTATCATGCATTTCCAGTAAACCAGTTAATATTTTATTAAGATAAAGTGGGAAATGAAACTAAATACCTTTGTGATTATGATGAATAATTTTATATTGTACATAACATTTTTAATAATGGACTTTTTTCTCCTGGATTTTTGTGACCACAATCCTGTATATTTGACTCTCTTTTGTATGACATATGATATGGCCAGATTAATATCCTCAGAATTTAATGGTTCCTTCTCTCCTCTAGGATACATTAATGATTTTTCCCATGTTAGGTGGCCTGAAGAGAAAAATGCCTTAGGAGTACAGCACTCTCTTACTTAATCTCACAGAAAAATTAGAATTCAATTTTTTTAAATTTGATGACACTTCCAATGTCCTCTGATACTCTGAAAACAATCCTGTGTCTTACTAGTATCTGGAAAATATGGACAATTGGAAAGTCTCAGTTCTATAGGTGATGTTTAATAAGTAGGGTTACTTAAAATTGCAGTGATGTTAAACTATAATTTTGAAAAGATTAAAGAATGTGAATAAATAAAAAGACTTTAATGTACTTGATGTAATTGAAGAAAGCAGAATATGTTTTTAAATATGACAAATGAATTCAACAATAAATTGAAGTACCACAGGTATAGCAGAAAATATAGTTAGTACATTTACTGATAACTACTTTTATTTTGTACTAGGGATTGAATCCAGGCATGCTTGTCCACTAAGCCCCATCCTTAGCCTTTTTAAAATATTTTGTTTAAAGACAGGATCATGCTGAGTTGCTTAGAGCCTGGCTAATTTGCTGATGCTGGCTTTAAACTGCCTCAGCCTCGGGTGCCACTGGAATTACAAGTATGCACCTGGCACTTGGCCATCCACTGATAACTTTTTAAATGTATAATTTTTTGCCTGTAAAGTTCAGGTATGCAATTAGATATTTGTTTCAATTTACCAAAAGATTCACATATTGTTAAATAGTAAATGCCTAATTTTAATTTTTTTAAATAAAACCACATATATTTGGTTTTCATGTTAGAAGTTTATGGTATGATTATATTTCTTAACAATCTTTTCATATTTTTATCTATCTTTTTGTTACATGAACATAAACATTCAATTTTAATCCTTATATTGGATATTCTGCAAATGTAAAATATAATTCAACACTTAAGAATAAGCACTTAGATGCTATGTTTCTTTTTGATTTGAACTTTTTTAAATTATGGAAGTCAATTTTGTGATGAACTTATGACTAATAAATAAATGACAAGTCATTTAATTTTATGTTCAGCCCTTAATTTGGAAACATGTTTTCAGTGAATGGAGCAATGAACTAAGAAAAAGGTTTTGTTTCTCCTATAAATCCTATGTCATAAAAATATGTATTTCAATTTACAAATGTGTGAAATAGTAGTATGATTAATAACTGAGGCAATTATTCAATAGATATAGCTGGTGTCAAGCTCTGCTGAAGATATAAAGATGATGTTATATAAAAGGGTATATGTATTAAAATTAACTTATGTATAAATGAGAGAAACATAACTTCAACATGATTGATTAAAGCAAGGGTGTAAAGGCTCTCATAATGAAAACATCCACATTGCAAGTATGGAATTATGGTTGATTCTATATACCCAAAGCGTACTGTCAAGAATCTGGTTTGGGATTTCAAGGGAGGTGGTATTTGGGGATGGATTCTTGAATGGTGATAAAAATAAAAGCACACAAAAGTAATAAAGAAACCAGCTCTGTGAGTTTGAAAAGGAAGCTACATCTCATAAAATATTTTCTATTTTTGGACATTCTCCTTATTCTTCCAATTTATAATCCTGTTAAATGAGTAAAACTTGAGTTAAAGGTTCCAGACTGGTCTCACTTATGCCATGGATAGTTGTGAACATACTGGATTATCTGCATGTGAGAATTGTGAGCAGGATTTCCTTAAGGCCATTATCTAGACTATGTAACAGTAAAGGGGAGAATAATATCAAGAGAAAATGTTTGGGATTTGCATATCAGGCCATTAACCCTTTCTATTTGGACATTCTTTTGGTATCATTGATGGATAACACTGATTTTATTTAGTTGTTTTTTTTTTTTTTTTTTAAACAGGGCTGTTTGATTTTTTTTTCCTTAGAGAATAGTGCTTAAACACTTGTTTGCTCTAAATAACTTTTGAATATGAATGTAGTCAATACAGATTATTAAACACAGATCATCAGGATGAATTAGATAGTGTGAATTTCATTTGAAAGATAAAAAACCTGGTCTGAAGTGTTGTGCAGGTAATAAAATAATAAATAGGTGAAGCCTAAGAAATGCTCTGGCATTGACTTTAGATCTAATGCTCTTTCTACTATAAGACATAATAATCATTTTGGGGACCAATAAACATACTTATAGGCCACTGGCTATTACAGTGTATTACAGGCTTCAGATACAGAGGCCCCGCAAGTATAGAGGGGTTCTTAAATCTTTATTTTACTGTCATTGGAGGTCTATTTCATAGCTTAAAAATTCCATCATTGCTAACAGACATTGTTCACAAGAGACCTAATTCACCTTCCATCATTTTGAAGTAAAGTAGTGTGTAATTTGAAGCCCATTTCAAAAATTGGTATGACTAGAGTGGAGTGGCAAAGCATGAAAAGGCATCATGGTCAAAAGTACTAATATGCTTCTTAAAGGCAAAAAGAGAAATTCTTTCCCAATTACTACTGCTAATATTCATGCCTAGAGTAGCTATGTATAAGCAATCCTTATGAAGCTTCTCTTCCTCTTGTCATAGGAAATAGACTTTATATACTTCTTCAGGTGATGGCATTATTCCCTTCCCAGTCAATCCTTTTAGGTTTAACACCAGGGGAAAGTAAAATCATGATATTTACAATGCTGAACCCACTGGTTCAGACACACCATGGACATTCTATCTTCTCTTTTTGGAAATCAGGAGTTAAATGGTAACTTTCAGGAACACAGCAGATTTTCCCTCTCATCTCTATTCAAGGTTTATAAAAAGGCAGAGAAAGTATTTCAAGGTAATTTCTCATTTCAAAAGAGTCTTTAAAACCAAAAGGATAGTCCCCCTGGGATAAGTTCCAGCTCTCTCAGGAATTTTCTGAAGGTAATGTTCCCCCAGAGCCCTCCAGTTGCAGTGAATCTGAGAATAAGAGAAGCTCTTTAATGAATGTGCTGTGAGAAACCAGAACACCTGGACACAATGAGGCAAAAGATCCAAACATGTCCTCCTTTCATTTTTGTCTCCTGAGATTTGCCACTTCACAGAAGCCACAATGTCATCCTCCCTCCATCCCTGGCTCACAGGGGAGATCATTCCAGATGCAATCTGAAAGTGACATCTGTACAGAACCGCCCATGGCCCCACCTACCTGGCAGAGCTGGGAGTATAGCTCAGTCATCCTAGCCTCCATTGAGAATTAGAGCACATATTGCCAGAGACTTAGCCTTTTCTTCCTTTTCTTTTAAGGACTACCACTAGTCCCACCAAATCCATCCTATCGTCCTCACTCCAAATTTAGACAATCATTTTAATTAACATACTCCTTCTTTTGAAACAATACAGAATGAATTCAGATTCTGTCATATATCCTTCATACAGGGTAAAATATACATTTTAAATTCTCAAATGAAAAACTTCATACTTCATAAAATATAGCATTCCAAAATAATTTACAGCTATTTCTACTGACTCAGTTAAATGAATATTCAATGTTTTCCTTTTGTGTTCAAAATGTGATCTTATATTTTAGGGACTGTAGTCCATGTCTAAAGGCTGATAAGTAGAGAGAAACTAGGAAAGGATTCATTGATGGCGTGATGTTAGAGACATTCATCAAATTATACTGGCAACAAATACAGATAGAGGTAAAAGGAAAAATAGAAGAAAAGGTATAGGGCCTATTGGGGAAATGAAAACTAGCCCAGGTGGCTGCAGGGTAGCGTTTTATAAAATAAAGCATGTATTCTGGGGATTCAGCAGAAGTTTCTGTATAATGAGACACACTTCTGCTTCTTTGGATGTTCTGTAAATACAAATGGAGGTAACATATACTGAGCCCAAAAGGGCAAGAACAAAAACTTACACATGTTAGTTTTATCCTTGAAATAAAGCATCATCTCTCATGCTTATTTATACAGTTTCCATTAGAGTCTGGTTTCTCTTCATATCATATAAATCTTTCATATTTTATTATTTATACTGGTTCTAGTACAGTAATTAATAAAAAGGGAAAAAAAACCTTCAACTTTTATAGATTTTCTTTAACAGTGCTCTGAATTTCTTCAGACTAAAATGAAACCTTCATAGACAAACTATGAGATGTTTTCAAATCCCTAAGTTCTTTTTAAAACAAACTGATGTTGTACTTTTTTTGAAAATCTAATATGTACTGCACATACAGCATGAGGACTAAGGAGATTACATGGCAGGGGGCATCATCTTTTTGGAATATTAATGGAAGAGTACCTATCCAAATCCCTTTCTCACTACAGGAGGGAGGGTGGGAATGTAGGTGAAGACATTCAAGAGAATCCTGTGAAGAGTAGGAGTGACAGCAAGAAAGGAAGGGTATATGAATGGTTTTTTCCTTAACTAGACACTGATGCAGAAGCACAATATGCAATGCAGGGCAACAAAGATGAGGCAGCAGAGTAACCTGGATCCTCTGAGTTCTTTAAGACAGGGATTCCTAGGGCAGAACAAACATTATAGAATTTCTCATTTCTGGGTTTTAAAACATCCCAAGTGTACCTGGTCTCACCCATCTCTAAAGTAATGGGCGTAAGTAACAAGAAGCTCCAGAATCGACATCTGGCAGTGTGAGCTGAAGGTGGGGAGAAGAGGAGCAGATTGATGTGGTCAAGCCAAAGCTATGTGGAAGTTCTTGGGTCCTAAAATGATGTCATAAAGGCATCTCACAAAAGTATAATTATCTAATTTATTGCCCAAAACATGACAAATAGTAAACTGGAAGGAATGCTGGAACAATAGATAAAATCATAAATTACTGCAATTAACCAGGACATATTTCCACAATATAAAGAAAACACAGCATCTGAATGCCTGTTACAGAGAGGAAGGACACCAGCAACCAGTCATTTCACCTAGGGAGACCACAACTGTGAATAAGAAGAGATTAAACTTCATCTGGTTATGTAGATGTGCATCATCTTAAAAGAAGGAAGCAGATTTGTCAAAAGTGGACCTTCCTCCATTCTAATGTGCCTTGAACCACAAGTTTAGCCCACACTGAGGGAGGGGAATAAGTTATAAGATTACCAAATTAATCAGTTAAAATATTATATTTTATTTATTTATTAAATAAATAGCCATGTTATTTACTGGAATGCATTACAATTCTTCTTACTCATATAGAGCACATTTTTTCATATCTCTGGTTATATACAAAGTATATTCACAACAATTTGTGTCTTCATACATGTACTTTGGATAATAATGATCATCACATTCCACCATCATTTATAACCCCGTGCCCCCTCCCTTCCCCTCCAACCCCTCTCCCCTATCTAGAGTTTGTCTATTCCTCCCATGCTCCTTATTCCTATCGCACTATGAATCAGTCTCCTTATATCAGAGAAAACATTTGGCATTTGTCTTTTGGGGATTAGCTAACTTCACTTAGCATTTTAAAACTTACCTGGCCTCTGATTCATGGACTAAAGTGACTTAATATTTCTCTTGAAGTGGAAATGTAATTCAGTAAAGTTGAACTCAGACAAAGGGAGAAATAGATAGTTCATTCCAAATAATATAAATCACAATTAGTCAAGCCAATATACCACTGACAAGTGGTGTAGAGAGTGAAAAATGAGTTGAAGAGAGAACTAGAGTGGGCTTTTTGAGATGAACCAAGGCTCATTTGCAGCTGGTAATAAAAATATAAGTAAAACAAATTTGAATCACTAAAGTATCACTCTTAATGGTCAGAAAAGAAATAAATTGCCACAAATTAACCTATTTGATATGCATTTATACATTTTATATTAGAAAATAAGTAATAAAATGTTATAGATATGAAATATTTTTAAAATTTTTTTTCTTGAAATTCTGTAACTTTTTTCAGGTTAATTGTTTTTCACAATATGATTTTCACTAGTTGTGGTTTGGTTAATTGTGTGAATATGCTGTAAGATATTTAACTAATATTTCTCATATATGAATGCTGTTTTCAATTTTCCTTATTATACATAATGAAACTGTGGAAACACACATGTATTTTCCAAAGTTTATGCCTGGAACTGTAGTTGCTTTGTGAAACAGTATTTAAACTTTTAAAAGTTTGTGCATAAATAGCAAAATGAAAAAATGCCCTAAGCCTTATAATTCTCAGTGATCTATTTACATAAAAATAAAAAAAAAATTGTATGTAGAAATAACAGTGAACAGAAAACTCTCCATCTAAATTTTAATTAACTTCTAATTTTTAAGAATTAGAATGTTTCAGAATGAAACCCCTGATGAATTTTTTGCTTTATCATGCAAAATCTTGCATCAAATATTAAAACACCTGTGAATTTGCTTTTGGCATGTCTTTCATACACTGAAATAAAAAAAAAAACTCAGGAAAATTTTGATGGACATGGAAAATTTCACTTTCTAATTGAAGAATAGCAAATATAATTACTGTAATCAACAGAACTCATATTTAACTACTTTTGCTAAAAATTCTCAGATACCACTTAACTCTTTTGCTAATTCTGTCAATTGATAAGAGTCTTGAATTTTGAGTTCTGAGTGTTTAATTTCATAAATAATCCACATTATTTTCTCATTATAGATGCAGCCCATGCTCATTTTTTCATGGGCCACATTTTACAGGAAACTTATGAAAGGAAGTTCTATGAATCATCTACAAATTAGTTTTATAAGAGAGTCCCTAATATCATATTGTATGTGATTGTGTGTATGTGTATTTGATGTACTTCATATTTTACTCTTCACATGGAAAAGAAAATCAGTAATATTAAGTTATAAAATGAAAAAATTAACCTCATCTTTATTTTATGAAACAAATTACTTCTAAAAAACTAAAACTTATAGAAACAATAGAAACGTTTTAAGTGGGGAGCAGTGAGAGGAGAATTTTGCATGATATTTTATTTTCATGTATATTTATGTTACTGTCCAAACCAAAAAAAAAAAAATCACAGAAAACCTAAAGAGATAAAAAACAAAAGTAATGACCAGAAGTCATGGTCACAAACAAGTGATGGATTTTCATCCTACTAAATCAATGAATCATCAAATACATACAAGAAAAAGAAAAAAGTTATGTGACTGAGTTAGATATTTAAGCAACAAATACTTGAGACATTTTCTTTCTTTATGGAATGACGATTTTAGTGATAAGAATTTCAGATCTTTATTTGCTTATGTCATTCTAATAGTCCATACCCAAGTATGGATTCCTAATTGTTAAAATATTTCACAAGTAAATTAATTTCAATTTTTCATTTAATGAAATTTAAATACTACTTTCTGGGTTGGCAAAAATCGAAAGTGAAAACATACAGGAATGTAGATAAAAGTTTTCAAGAAATGTAAATAAATTTTATAAATTGTTATAGGAAATGCAATAAAACTTACAGCAAAAATCAGCCAATGTTTATAAAACACAATGACTAAAACCCACGTGTTTTAGTCATTGTGTTTTATAAACATTCTATAGTTTTATGTGGATGCAAAATGTAAAATGAAACTCAACTTTTGGAAAGGATTCACCAAGCTCACTTTGCTAAATCAGAAAGAACCTGATACACAATTTCTTTCCAGAAACTCAGAGAAAGCTGGGAAGTAATCTTTTTGTTCTTTATGTCATTGATTTTTACCTTAATCTTTTTAATGTGCTCTGTTCTCCAAGATTTCAACCAGAATAGAGAAAGTATAAAAAATATATAACCATCTGCTTTCTCTTTTTCTTCTAGTGTGTCTATGATCAAGTCCTACAGTCCTACCTAGGATATAATTTTTTTCTGAGGTGTGACTATTTTATCATCTTTCTGAAATATTATTTTAATGTTAAATCTAAATTTTAACATTTTTCTTTGTATTACAGGTTTAATAGTCCTTATCCAAAATGGTTAAAACCAGAAGTATTTAACATTTCATTTTTAAATTTAGGAATATATGCATATAAGTAAGTGAAATATCTGGGAATGGGACCCAAGTTTTAAAATGAAATTCCTTTATTTATTATTATTATTATTAATAGTAATAGTGGTAGTATTTGGCACTGGCAGTTGAATCCAGGAAACTTTACCACTAAGCTATATCCCCTTCCCTTTTCATTTTTTATTTTGAGATGGGGTCTTACTAAGTTACTTAGGGTCTCACTAAATTGCTGAGGCTGGCCTTGAACTTGCAATCCTACTGCCTCAACCTCCCAAGTCTCTGGTATTACAGGTGTGTGTCACCATAACAGTTGTTCATTTATGTTTTTTAAAAGATATTTTGTATGTTTAAAAGAAAATTTGAGAAACATGACAAAATGCTTCATTGACTACCTTTCACAATAAAATATGCAACATATTGTTTTTCAAGCACACACTGAGGTACTCTAACAACAGATGCAAAAGCATAACAGTTATGAGCAGACAAACCATATCCATAAAGAAATAGATCAAGCCAGGTATAGTGGAGCACACCTGTAATCCCAGATACTTGGGAGGTTATGTAGGATGATAACAAGTTTGAGGCCAGACTCAGCAACTGGGAAATCTTGTCTCAAAATAAAGCATAAAAAGGGCTGGGAATGATGCTCAGTGGTAGAGCACCCCTGGGTTCCAGCCCCAGTACCAGAGAGAATAAAGAAAAAAGGCAAAAATAGGTCACAAAGTGATAAATATAAAATCACAAAGAGAAGTAATGTTGTGCACCTAGCTTAATAAATGCCATCATCAAATTCAGTGAAAGACACCCTACATTTTTTGAGGAGACATCAAAAAACATGATAGGTCAACATCACACAACCAATTGCTCAAAGATTGGAGATTGAGAAATTTTTATCTGTCACCAAAGTAGATACAGAAAGGACATTTCTTAATTTACAAAAGAATTTTCAATTTTTTAAATGTAAAGTCACAATACTTCCACACTAAGTCAACATTGTAATAATGTACTTTTGCAGAATCAAATTTGAGCAGAAAAGCATAAAACAAATTATAATTCACCTAGAAGTATTTACACTATTTATAATTCCAGTATGGAAAGTAATATGAAGATGAAATACATAACAGCAAATTATAAGAAATAATGCTGACAAAAATTGTGGTAAAAACCTGAACATTCAACATCAAAAAAGTACATTACAAGGAGAGATTATGGGCAATTACACAGCAGTAGTCTATAAGTGTTGACCAACTTCCAAGATCATTAACAATGTTTTGAAGCCTTGCATTGAGATAAATAGCTGTTTTTTCTTAAGACATGTTCTCCTTGAAGAATACATCCACACTCATTTTCTAGTGATGCTTCTCTTTTTGAAAATTTTCTATGATTCAATATAGAGCAAAATAAGCATTAAAATATCCCATTTTCTGCATCATGCTTATATGTTGTTTTGGGTGCATAGAAATCCATTTTGCATGTCTTCATATATAGACCACAAGTTTGGCAGAAAAATACTGATAAAATGGCAACATCATTGCATATCTTTTTTCCCCACTTTTATAGTACTGGAGATTGAACCCACAGCTGCTCTACCACTGAGCTACAGCCCCAGCCTTTTTTATGTTTTAATTTGAGACAGGGCCTCACTAAATTGCAGAGGCAGGCCTTGAACTTGTTATCCTCTTGCCTCAGACTCCGGAATAGCTGGATTTATAGTCATGCACCACTGCACCCAGCCATCCTTGCATTATCTTCTTTTCCTACGTGCACATAATTATTTTCAAATCAGTGACTTTGTTGGCCTCTTCAGGCAAATATGGTTTCAATCCATTAGAAAATCCTGGAAGTTTTCATCCTTGCTGTATCTCATGACCAACACACTCATTTGAATATTCTCACATGTGCATTGAGCTGAATCGAAAAAACAAATTTTATTGGTAACACCTTGAAATTTTCTTTTAGAAGACTTGTTCATACCTAATTCCAAATCTGTCATTATGAGAACTCGACTGAAACCCATTTTCTTCAGCAAAGCACACCAAATCTTCAAATAAGTCTTTTAAAAAAACACTTCACTTTTGCCCAGTCCTTAATACATAAAGGAACCAATAAGTTCTTGATTTTTCAGATCCAAAAGGAACATGAATTGTATGTAGTCGATAAAAAAATTTTAAAAACTAGTGGGACAGTTTTGAAACATTAGCAAAAGGGAGATACATGCTTTTTTTACAAAAAATGTGTCTATCTTCTTCAATGGTCAAATAAATAACAAAGAACAGTTCACATTTAATGGGTTTTGTGACAATGGAGGAACCTGTCAACAAGTGTCTTCAATTCAGAAGGTCCCTAAGATTGTCAAATTCTTTTTTTTAAAGAGAGAGAGAGAGAGAGAGAGAGAGAGATATTTAATATTTATTTTTTAGTTAGTTTTTGGTGGACACAACATCTTTATTCTTTTTAATCTCTGACAAAGGGCAGTTTTAAAAAGTAAGCACGGTGCTATATGTAAAAGGACTGAAGCAGTATACAACTGAGTAACTTGGCAGGGTGAACTTCTGGTATTTTCACCTGCATTTTCATTCCTTCTGTGATCTTTGAAACAACCACTGCACTTTTATTTGAATGATGATAGGGTCCAAATAAGGCCCTTAAGACCCATTCACCTGGGGAGCTTTGAAATTGAGACAGCTCTTTGGAACTGAGGCAACTGAACAGTATTTAGACCTTGGCCTTGAAAGTGAGGTTAACCTTGAGTGGTATATTTTCCTTCAACTGAACTCAATTTCTTGAAAGAAACTCAGCATCCTATAATA